CCCCTGAGGGGGGAGCAGCCTTACCAGGCCACAGTAGAGGACAATGCAGCCACTTTTGATGAGAACTGATAGACTAAGATCAGAAAGAAGAGGAGAACCTCCCCTATCAGTGGACTTGGGGAGTGGCATGCATGCAGAAAGGGGAGGGAGGGTGGGATTGGGATGGGAGGAGGGAGGGGCTTATGGGGGGATACAAAATGAATAAAGTGTAATTAATAATAAAATAAAAAAAGTCAAAAAAAAAAAGAAGCACCCAAAAGCCCAAAATGTTTTTTCATCTGGAAAGATGAAACACTGGTCTGTGTAAGTGAATAGTGTTTCTTTGTTTAAGCCTGGGGATGGCCATGAATGGCTGCAGCATACTGACACTCAGGTCCCCCCCGTCCAAAGGGAGAATTATTCTTCTGCTTCTGCTTGTAGGTCGAATGAGTAGTTCTGAACTGTAAGCCTCAATAGAAGTAATGAGACCACTGAGCTCTCTCCTCTGCCATGTAGAGGGGAAAACACAATGAGGCAGAGTTCCTGTCAGCCTGAATGACTGCAGTGAGCACAGAATAACGTTACCATACCCTAAGTGGGTTCCAGCCCTCAGTCAATGTGTTTAAAGCCTCCTCACCTCTCCAAGGGGTTAGCTGAGAAGTGTGAGGCCTTCATGAATAGAGTTTATGCCCTTATAATAATGACTCCAGGGCGGTATCTTGCATCTTCTCTCACTTAAATACCCAATGAGAATGTGCTGTCTATGAATGAGGAAACAGGCCTCCACCAGAGAGCAGACATGGGACCTGTGGGGAAAGAAGCTTGTAGAAGCCAGCTCCCATAGCACCCATAGTAAAAAAAAAAAAATTTTTTTTATTACATGGACCCAGTTTGTGGTATTTAATTACAGCAACCTAAATTAATGATGGCTTGTAATCATATTGGACATGAGGTGATGGGAGAAAAAGATTCTTTGCTGTACTCTCCTGAGAGTAAGCTTGTTACAACCTAACCTGTCTTGACTGACACAGGACCTAGAGTATTATTTACATTTTATACAACAAATACTTATTGTTTTGATGAGTCAAAAATGGAATAAGACCAACTTAAGAAATAAGACATGAGACCACTGAGCACTGGCCATTCCAGTAATGGCTGCTTTGTAACGCTGTGTCCTCTAAGGGCAGTGAACTCTAAGTTTGTACACACATTGAGCATAAGTGCACACACCTACACTGTTATTTTTGGATATTTTTCCACTTTCCTTTGTATCATGGCTTGAAGATTGGTACACTGAATTAATCTTGAACTGTGAATATGGCTTATTTGCCACAATATCTTGTTTGCTGGAGAAAAGTAAAGTAAAATGGTTTGCTTCACAAAATACAGTCTTTTCTCTTTGACCTTTATGAGTGTCCATTCCTTTCCTGTGCTGAATGAAGAATAGATGATGATTAAAAAAAAAAACAAAACTCATTTCCAATTCTTTCTTCAAAAAGATATTTTTTTTCTCTCTGCAAATGATCAGTTGTGTTACTAGGTATGAATTTATTCCTATTTTAACGTTTTATGATATATTTTATATTGCCTTAGAGTATTTGTTATAAAGAATGAAGTATACTTTTATATTGTCCCAACTGGTTCTAGTAGCTTGACTCCATTTGCTGATACATTCAGGATTCCTCAAGCATCTGGTTGTGAACATATCCTAGCTTCTGGTTTTTAATTCTGAATACAAATAGCCATTCTCTATATAATTAATCCACTTATTTTAGTAGCTTGATTCTGATTTTTCATCTTTCTTTTTTGTTCATGTCAGTCTTAGTATTTAGTAATTATATGAAAAACACAGCCATATTATTGGTGAAAATCATGTTGAAATGAATATTTTTGAACATTTTTTTTAATTGGTGAAAGACTATGACTAATGCCACCAGAGACTGAATGGAATTACACATTTTTAGGGTGCCATGCTCATTAGCCGAGGACCTGGCGTATCTACAGTTAGCCTGAAAGAATAACACATAGTTTTAAATAAAGACATAATGAAATCCTCGGAATGTTTTATTTTTGTAAACTGATAGGTTAAGTTGAAAGCAGAAGTTTGGTTGGGCTCAGTCACTGAGTTTCCAGCAAGAATAACTCTGCACATCTATCGACAAAAAGAAATACAGTAATGTTAAGAAGGCATTCTCATTAAGAATGTCAGGGATGTCTCCAAAAAACAATTTTCAGAGTCTTCATGCATAGACAACAAATATTCACTAGTTTTCTATGTAGTGTTTCAGTCTTCTTTTCTAATTTATAATTTTCATAACACTTCTATTCAAAAACAAAGCCACTTCTTAAAGAAAGGAACTGACCTCTTACGGACTGTAACAGTGACGAGCCCAGCATTTTCATTTGTTTCTGTCCATTGGCTATCTTCTTAGTAACCAAGGGGCAAATCCTACAAGTGTTACATAATCCATTTCTCTTGCAAAAGAAGTTCCACATGTATTGGTCTTAGACTGTGTATGGGGAGTTTATTCAATATGCTATTGTCGTGTAGGCCACTTGCCATTTACCATTCGATTCTCTCTTTCAGGACACCTGCAAGGGTGGTATTACCCCTCTTCTTTGAGGTAGGCAAGGGCACATGACTATTCTAAATTAGTGAATGCTATTTTCATGGAAGTGTCGCTATATAGCAAAGAATATATAAAAACAAAGTTACTTGGTAAATGTATTTTAAGGAATGCAAAATTCAAATCCAGCCCAAGGAAACAATCTGGCTTTTGAAGTTGGTATTGATGAGATTCTTCAAAGACTGTGAGAGTCATGAGATTATGGCTGGCCTGGGCCCTCATGCTAGATACTGAATATACACTTGATGAATGAAGGAATGAGGGCTGTGGGGATGGCAGAGTGATCACAATTTTAGTGTCACATTTTACTTAAATAGTTATTTTTCTAAGCTTATCTGAACATAAAGAAATCATGCTTTATAAAAAAAGAAAATGTATTACCCAGTAAGACCAGCAGTGATATCCTGGCTTTTCATAGAAGGTTAGAACAATTTAAAAGAGAAAAGTCACTAGGCTTTGCCTTTGCTTTCTGAAACCCCTAAGGACTCGGTCTAGCAGTTAATGTCTGTCATTTTAGTAAAATCTGTAATTTTTTTTATCTTGTTTTGGTTTAACGACTTGAAGCTGTTGAATGTTTGCATTCTGCCCAAATTCAAATACTCCAACCACCAGTGAGATGGTATGTAAAGTGGACTGTGGGAAACCCTGTCTTGAAAAACAAAACAAAACAAAACAAACAAAAAAACGGAAAAATAAAAATAAAGTAGACTATGGGAGGTGACAGTTTCACATGGAGTCACAAGGCTTACATCCATCTTCATGGAATTAATGACTTTGCAAGAAAAGTAAGAGGCTACGGAGCTTCTCTGAGCAAGAGTACCGTGTTTGTGAGCCAGGAAGAGGGCTTGCTGGAAGAACTGAGTGGATCCCAACCTTGGTCTTGAACTTCCTTGCTTCCCAAACTGAGAAATAAATATCCTTTGTTTAAGCTGTGGTATTTCATTATGACAGCTTTGAGGTTCACTCACAAGCCAAATCCTATTGTCTCAACTATAAATGTGATGTTATTTGCATGTAAAAGTCACTTTCTTTTGTTTTTGTCAACCACTCTGAAATTGTGTGTGGCTGGCAGGATGGCTCAGTGAGTAAAGGTACTTTCCACGAAGGCTGATGACCTGATTTGATTCCTGGAACTTACATAGTGGAAAGAGAGAACCCAATATCATAAGCTGTCTGTTGAGTTCCATAACTGAGTCCCATAATTATGACACACACACACACACACACACACACACACACACACACACACACACAGTAAATTTTAAGAAAATTTAAATCCACAGGCCTCTTTAGGTGAATTAAATAAGATGTCAATCAAATCACCAGTCTGACTCATTAAGTAGTTCCCAACTAAGGAAGCAATGAGTTTTTTCAAGCACAAAACACAAACCCAGTGTTGCAACATTTGCTAGTAGATGACAGCATACACTGGTGTTTTTTAAGCTTTATATAACGCAAATATAAGGAAACATTCACTGTACACTAAAAAATTCTCATTTCAAAAAACAAAATTCAATAGTTTAGCCATAGTTTAAAGTTATAGAAATAAGCTGTAATTTTCCTAGGGAAGAGTTTACCAATTGATTATCCAATACCAAATGGTCATACCTGAAAATATACACAAGTAACAATTTGCAGACTGAGAAGAGTGTAGTTATATATTTAGAAACACATACACATACATACACACCACAGAACAACAATGACAACTAAAGAAAAAGAGTCCATGATTTGAAATTGAGCATGATGGAGGAGCACATGGAGGCATTTGGAGCGGAGAAAATGAACCCCCCAAACACAAATGCTCTACGGTGACCATATTAAAGCTCACAGTTTTTTACTTTTACTTTTTTACTTTGTTTTCATTCCTGGTTAAAAAAAAAAGTTTTAATACATTGTTCTAGGTTTTATCTTTCCTAAAGCATTTTCATGGAAATAAAGCATTTTGCATTAGCAAAATTTATTCCCATATCAGAAATAAATTCTCTCAGCGCCATTTAAAAAGCTCACTTGAAATAAAAATGCTGACTATTAGACAGCAATCTGTCTGTACAATGTCAAATGAAAAGCTGCTGTCATAATTCATTTGTAACATTTATTTCTTACACCAATTTGACGAATTTACCTCATGTACAAGTACGCCACAAATCATGCCTTCCACTTGCCACGTGGGACAGTGGTAAACATAGCATACCTTCAGACGACCTTTCTTCAGAGATGCTCCTCCCTGTTCACATTTTATCTGTCAAATGGTACTTTCTTTGAAAAGCAAATTTAGATGCCATTACAGGGAGAAGCTACCGGCCTGAGACAAGTTCCAGCATTTAGTGTTCTGACAGATCTTAACTTGGGTGGCAGCCAAGGTCAATAAAACTTGTTCATGCAGAACCTTACCTGGTTTTCACCACGTCGAGAGGATGCATCAGGCAAATTTCTACAAGACCTGAAAGATGATGAAGAAGATGCCAATGAACACACAGACACCTATTGATTCTCCAAAATTAAGATCAAAATAAAGAATTTAGGTGGAGGGGGAGTAGATCTGGGGAAGTGGGGTGGGGGTGGGGGCTGGGAAGAAGGGAGAGAGGGCAAACTGTAGTCAGGACATATTGTATGAGAGAAGAACCTATTTTCAGTTAAAAAAAAAAACAACAACAACAGGATTTAGAACCTTAGACAGAACAGTTTCTAAAAGTAGCGAGTTACCAAATAACTTTATTTTCAGTGGGAGAAAGATGTAACCATGTATTCTCTTATAACTCTGGCAGGGAGGTGGGGCTAGCGGGAAAGGAGAAAAAAAAAGCAGATTAAATTACAACTAATTAAAGAGAAATTTTGTATCCCAATCCAGCTGCACATAAGTAGAAGTAGAATGGAGAAAAGAAGGGAGGAGTCTGAGTTTTCCCTCTGACATGGCTTAGTTCTACATCCATGAAATAAAGATGACTCTTACTTGACAAAGCAGTTATTAGATACCATTAGCTTAACAGAGGACGCATACGGACACTGTGGCCCAATTTTAGGGACAAGATAAGTGAAGCTGAAGCATGCCAGGTTAAATAACTCTCCTAAGATGCCTAAGCTTTTTGTTCAGTGTGTGTGTGTGTGTGTGTGTGTGTCTGTACCCCTGAATACACATAGTCTATGTGGAGGTCAGAGAACAATTTGCACGAGTCAGTTTTCTCTTTTTCCTGAGTGGGTTGGAATTCAACACAGTTCTTCAGACTTTGGTGCCCAGTGCCCTCACGCTCCAGACTCAGTTTCTGATAAGTTTCGCTATGGAGAAATGACTGTTCCCTAGCAGCACTAGAAAAGGAATTCTGGCTGATTTTATTTCCAGATTAGTGTAAAATTTCAAGCAAAGCTAAGTGTGTGTGGGATCTCACAAGTTGCACCGATACAACCAATACGGTCTTGAGTCATTCACCTTTCTTAATAAAGATACATCCTTACCTTTACATACATGTACACTGTGCGTAAAGGCATCCCCGTGTTATAAATATGGCCAAACTCCAATTGAGGTGGTTTGCAACTATGTTAAATGTACCTCCCATAAAGAGCTACCTACAAATACTACACTGTTGTGTGGCCGCTGGGAGGTGGCCCGAGTACCCACAACCCTTACTTGTGCAGAGAATGAGGGTGTTTCTCCTCATGCAGTTGTGCATGTCTGCGATCACATATGCCAAATGCCATCGCTATTTGGGGGGCCAGGTAAAGTAGCCGCTGTGGTTATTGTTACTTGAACGATTACAAATACAACAGTTACTTCTATCACTGCTAGGATGTAAAACTACTTAAAGCACAGCGCTGATTATAAATTACTATGCTGGCAATTTGAAAACTAGCCGTTTCATCCATAAGAGAGGACTTTTTTTTTCTTCCTGCAGTTTCATCTGCAAGAATCTAGTGAGGCATAGTTATCATCATGGGCTTGTAACAATTTTGGTTTCCAGAAGGAGAGAAAGACACAAGGCAGCATGGGCATCCAGATTACGTGGGAAGCTGACCAGGCCTTCGGGGCAGGCCTTTGTCTTTATCACTGAAGTTGAATTACTCAGGAAAGTACTGGTGCACCTCTAAATGCTCCCACAAGTATCCTTGCTGGAAAATTCACGTTCATCCGGAAGAATAAAGTAACCAGAATTCCTTCCCTGCTTCCCCTAAGCAATAGTCATTTTTCAATGGGGCTATGCTTTTTATCAGCAAATGGAAGAATTAAATGGTCTAGAATAAATTCTAGAACCCTGGGTTTCCTTCTACCCGATTTCAACTCACACATGTATATGTACATCCATATAACCTCCAGTTAAAATTGAAGTTTGGTAATTAGAATAAAGCTATAATCTAATAAACTGACCCTGAAAACTCAACCTTTAAGACTGCAGTGTCACCAATCACTGCCGCAGTCATCCGTTAAGTGAGGTTCTATGAATGAAACGTTACCAAAGCAAGTGCATAATGCTTCTCCCACTCTCGACATCAGAGAGAAAGAAAAATAGTAAGCGCCAAATAGCACCATATGGTATATGAGTAAACCAAAAGTTTACTGACATAACCAACAACCCAACCACTAATGAGAATTAATAGCACAACTTGGAAAATCAGTTTACATGAATATAAAGCCATTTTCTTATTTGCAGAAATTGTTCTACTTTCCCTTGGACTACATCTTATAATTTTGCAGTTTAGCTGTTTCCTAATCTCTACTTTTCATCAAACTTCCATGTGTTCATCCAAAAATTTCACATTGATTGCTCCTTGTGTGTCCAGCATTGAGGAAAGAGCCTCGTAAAATATGATGAACAAAAAGAACAAATAACGATATGCAGGGATGTGTGGCACTGAGTTGACAGAGGCTCGTCGGTCGGAGAGAAAGGCTCCCAACATGACCTGGTTCGGGATCAAGGGAGGGAAGGACACTTGAGGTAGAAAATAGTATGAGCATGAGGAATAGTGGAAAGGTACTTATCTGCACATGTGTGCACATCCATGCAGAGGAAGAGTAGGAGGAGGAGGAGAAGAAGAAGAAGAAGAAATTGCTTAACACTTATGGCAACTTGGGGTTGAAGGTAGATATGAAATTGGCAAGAGATGAGACTGAAGTGTGTAGATAATGGTCAGAACCATTTCTAGGCATTTATATTTCATCCCATAGGCTATGAGGAGGCTGCAAATGGACTTTAAAATTACCTTGCTGGATGTGTTTCTGTTGTTAAATTGTCTCCAATGCATCCTAAGTTCACTGAAGACATTCAAATGGATTTTAAGAGTAGTGATAGCAACCCTAGGCCACACCCTCTGTTAGTGATGTAACCATGTGCCCTTTTAGCTTGCTGCTCCCTCCAATCATATTCATTCGTTGGCCAGCAAAGAGAACTGAAGCCGTCCTCTTTCCTCTTTGGTTACAGCAAAAGCACCATCTGTGCATCAAAACACAGACATCCTGGTGTTCTGTCACCTCTAGGCATGAGAGGTGGGCGATCTTAACGCCAATTTTGTAGAATTTAGAATCTCCACAGAAATATACATCTGGTTGTGTCTATAAAGGTGTTTCCTGACAAGTCAAACTAAGGAGGAAAAACATATCCCTAACATGGACGTCACTGTCCCATAGGCTGGGGTCTAGGATTGCACAAAAGGAAGAAAGTACCTAAATATCAGCATTAATTTTTCTCCTTTGGACTGGATGCAATGGCATCAACTGCTGTATCCTACCACCATGACTTCAGCAAGATAGCAGCTTCAATTGTAAGGCAGAATCAACCCTTCCTTCCCTGTGTTGTTTTTTGTAAATGCAGCAATGAAAGGCAGAGCTATTACAATTCATAAGAGTCTATGTCTAAACATGAAACCGCCTACCAATTTGTGACTTGGACAACAGAAAAATGTTGCTGGACATATTTGGTCCAGAATATCAGTTTTTTAACTTATTGATATTTTTAATCAAAATAGGTAATTATAGACTTCAAGTTAGTAACAACATATTTTTCAATCATTTTTATTAATTTTTATTTTTTATATTAATCACAGGTTATTTATTTTGCATCCCAGCTGTAGCCCCCTCCTTCATTCCCTCCCAATCTCACACTCCCTCCCTCATATCCTCCCTTCCCTTTTCCAAGTCCACTGCTAGGGGAGGTCCTCCTCCCCTTCCATCTGACCCTAGCTTATCAGGTATCTATCTGCAGGACTGGCTTCCATATCCTCCTCTGTGGCCTAGCAAGACTCTTCCTCCCTTGGGGTGGGGATGGAGGTAAAGGAGCCAGTCATTGAATTCATGTCAGAAATAGTTTCTGTTCCCATTACTAGGGAAACCCACGTGGTACTGAGCTACCATGGCTACATCCGAGCAGGGGTTCTAGGTTATATCCTTATAAACAGTCTCATAGAGGGTCCCACGCTCTGATATATTTTGTCCTTGTGGAGCTCCTGTCCTCTCTAGGTCATACTAACTACCCCTTCTTTCATATGGTTCCCTGTACTTTGCCAAGGTTTGGTTATGAGTCTCAGCATCTGCTTTGATACACTGCTAGGTAGAGTCTTTCAGAGGCTCTCTGTGGTAGGCTTCTGTCCTGTTACTTGTTTTCTCCTACTTCCCATGTCCATCCCATTTGTCTTTCTAAGTGAGGATTGATCATCTTACTCTGGGTCCTCTTTCTTGTTTATCTTCTTTAGGAACACATATTTTAGTATGTTTATCCTATCTTATAGGTCTAGTATCCGCTTATAAGTGAGTATATGCCGTGTGTGTCTTTCTGCCACCCAGACCTTTCCGGGCTGTGCGGAGCTGAGGGCCAGTGAGTGGGCAGAAGAAGGGCAGGAGCAGATAGCTGAGCAGGCCAGTGGAGCCTGGGGACGAATTGGACTACCCTCTAGCAAACTTGTGCGAGCACCTGAGCAATGAAGATGGCAGCATCCTGGACGAGGTTCTACTCCCTCAGCAGCTGCCTGTGTTTGCATGTCTGCACTGGCACCATCCTGCTAGGCGTCTGGTACCTGATCATCAAGGCTGTGGTCCTGCTGATCCTGCTGAGGGCTGTGGCAGATCCTGATCAGGCTCTGAACTAGGAGGGGAATTTGAGTTCATAGATGATACAAACAGGATGTGCATTGAGATTGCAATCTCTCTCCTCATGATCCTGTTATGTGCAATGGCTACTTATGGACCATACAGACAACATGCTGCCTGGATCGTTCAGTTCCTCTGCTACCAGACCTTTGACTTTACCCTGAATACTTTGGTTGCCATTACCATGCTTGTCTACCCAAACTCCATTCAAGAGTACATACGGCAGCTGCCTCTGAGCTTTTCCTTACAGAGATGATATAATGTCAGCGAATCCTACTTGTTTGGTCCTTCTTATTCTTCTGTTTATCAGCATTGTCTTGACATTTAAGGGCTACTTGATCAGCTGTGTCTGAAGCTGTTACTGATATATC